CTTTAAGCCAATCAGTTATGGATTTTATAGCTGGACCACTCTGTGTTACTTCCTACCGCCACCTCTTTCATTTATATCACACACCTCATTCATAATTACCGTTTTAACAGTAATCCTCTACTTTGAATTTTATTTATTTTAAATCGTTTTCTACGGCATATCAACACTTTGCAGTTTTATTTAGATTTCGGCATTAAATAACCCATATAGGTTGCAACTAAACAAAACTATCCAAAGGCCCAAGCTTAACTGGTTGGAAATATGTACTTGCTATGTCTTGGCAGTTATATAATCTTAATAAATTGGGCATGTCCTCTAGGCGCTAGCGTGCGCTGCATATCTGTTCATGAGCGTGAGTAGTAAGGCAGCATTATGGGTGGGTGTCAAAAGGTTTGATTTTTTTTTAGTTTGAATAATGTGGTAGACAAGGCGATTTGGAAGTCAGGTGCATATTCGGGTTTCCACTAAATCTGAGATCTATCTATCTATCTATCTATCTATCTATCTATCTATCTGAAGAGAACGAGAGAGAGAGAGAGAGAGAGAGAGAGAGAGAGATAAAAAAAAGATGAACAGACACAGAAGAGGTCTTTGTGTCTTTATTTCTGGCCCTAACAAGGTCACAAGATCTATCTTTCTGAAGAGAGAGAGAGAGAGAGAGTGTGTGTGTGTGTGTGTGTGTGTGTGTGAGAGAGAGAGAGAGAGAGAGAGAGAGAGAGAGAGAGAGAGAGAGAGTGTCACCTTTCACAAAGATGAAAGCGGCATGTACAGCGTCTTCTGATAAAAAACGTTGTACACAATTACTGACATAAAATAAACACAGACCCCAGAGCAAACACGAGGGGGGTGCATCTGCGGCCAAAAGAAAAGAAAGAAAGAAAGAAAGAAATAAAGAAAGGCAGACAGGACTTACACAGCTGGCAGGTTTCGACTCTAATGCTTTCTTGATTGGCAGGTGAGTCTCGTTACCAAGAAACTTCACAGGAAGCTTTTTTTTCTTTTTTTCACCCAGACACAAGGATCTCTTTGAATTAAACTGGATAATCCTAGAAATAAACAAATAAAAGCCTCGAAGTAAAAATCGGTTTCTACTAGACGCCAAATAAACACCCCCCCCCAGCCGGTTCAAGTGGTTCAAGCAAAGGGCGCGAGATTCAAGAAGAATGAGCAAGTTAGACTGTTACCACTAAACTCCGGTTCTCACTCTCGCTTTCTAGGCGGGAAAGAAGGGAGAGAGAAATTGAAAAAGAGAAGGAAGGAAACAAAAAGAAAGAGAGGGACAAAGTGCGTGTTTTTAATTAATGAACGCTGCTAACAATAGATCAATATTTTCGGAATAAAAGTTAAAAATACGTTGTTTAAAAAGATCACACAAGCAAACACACATAGACACACACATATATTCAGGTATCATATCTTCATTCAATCATGTTTCATTGAATAATATATATATATATATATATATATATATATATATATATATATATATATATATATATATATATATTCATAAATTATAACAGAAATTATCAATATCAAATATGACAAATAATAATTTTATAATGTTGATAATGTTATAATTTTATGGATATGTCCGGAAGATAATTTATTAGACAGGAAATATTCGACGTTGACATATTAACATTAAAACACATAATTGTATATAATAATTTTTTGTTTGTTTTTTCCGTATATTTTTTTCTTCATACTGTTTGGATCTATATCCATATTTGCTTACATATATATATATATATATATATATATATATATATATATATATATATATATATATATATATATATATATACAAATATAGATAACTATGTTGTTTTGAAAAAACCCTCACATTTTTGATTTGCCAATAATCAAATCAATCTCGAGGGAAAAAAGGTTTTAAAAAAAAAAAGAGCTACAAACATGAACTTCTGCCAACAAAAAAATCGCACAGATACAGGTCTGAAGCCCAAAGAAAAAAACCCGATACGAGTAACAACTAACTAACAAAAGAGCTCAATACAACCGTAGAGCAGACCTAGATAAACCTAGTGAGCCAGACAAACCTACCTAGGTTTCACCTAAGCGGATCGTCAGGGAAACCTAGGTAGGTTTGTCTGGCTCACTAGGTTTATCTATCTATCTATCTATCTATATATCTATATATATATATATATATATATATATATATATGACATTTAAGATTTAAGAATATAATTGTTCAAGCGTAAAGCAGTATTTTCATATAGCGCTCAAAATTTAAAATATTAAAATTATATTAATATAAATAAAGTTTATTTCCATTTTTTTCAGTTATTTTTTTCAGTAAACACAACGGACGCGAAAAAATTGACAAAAAATTGCAAAAATTGCAAATAAACTTATTCAAACAACAGAAGCATGGATAATTTCAAGGAACTTCGAAGTGGGGTAAACATCAAAAATTGATATTTACAAGTATGTAATTTTTATATATATACTCGACTCTCCCGTCGAATTCGACGTATGAGAGTCAAGCAGATCAGTTCCTAGAAAACCGACAGCCCGATAACAGCACATGAGAATTGATTATAGTGGTGAAGGTTTCGTGCAGGACCATCCACACTTTTTGAAGGGCCGAATTCAAAGACTAAGTGCCACAAGGCCCCCAAACGACCTTCCGCAGGTTTTGAATTCAGAGTTGTCCTTCTCCTAGACCAGTTGCCATCCAAGGCTATAGAATTCAGTCTGTTCTGCTATTTACCCATAGCTGGAGGGAAAAGAAGAGGATTCACACTCCCGGATTCCTCAATCCAAGCCGCTATCCATTACTCCACCGTGCCTCCAATATATATATATATTTTTTTTTTTCACAGTTTCAAGACATATATATATATATGTGTGTGTGTGTGTGTGAGAAAGAACAGATGGAGAAAATTTACACTGTTCGTAGCATTTCAAATGCTCAATACAAAGTAGAGCAATATAGTATTATTATTTTTATTATAAGAGATTATAGTAAAAACATGTCGAAATCGCTACACAGTAGCTTTCGTGTTTCGGCACTTATGTTGTGCCTCTTCAGGCGATGGTAAGTAACTGTTGATTAAATTATTTTTAAGAAAATTTCAAAAGCAAAGTGTTACCTCTTTTTCGAAAGATAAAGAGTTGAGTAAGGAAACACAAGGTCAGAATTAAAAATAGACTTGTGTTTTTGCCTTAATCAACCAATAAAGTGGCAGATCTACGTTAAATAGAAAATGAAGCCCAGAGGGGTGGAGGTGGAGGAGTTATTTTTCATGACATGATAAACCGGAACAGGTCAGCATTGGTAATTGTGGAAAACATGCAAGCAACAAATGCATCGTGATTGTAGACAAATATGTTCAATTTTTCAAAGGAAGCTGAGGGGAGGGGTAGGAGGATAATCAGACGTAAAGTCAATTTCAACAGAATTTTTTTTTAAATTTCCTATTCAGGAATCTGTAGATACAATTAAAAATGGGGAATATCTATAGAAGATATTAATAATACTAATTGGATGACAATACAAGGCAATACTAATCGGAAGAAACAAAATAAGATAATTACTCGTAGAGGATGGACTGTTTATTTATTTATAAATTATAGCCATTAGAAATGGTACTACCTAATTTTTAAAAAATTTAACTATATTGTAAGATAAAAGCTAAACTGTGCCGGCAATTTACAGTTAATTCACTTCTTTGGTTTAATAGAGATATTTTGGCAGCACATCGGATAATTTCTAGTTTCTCATGTAAGTATAAGAAGCAAGGTTCATTTAAAGATTTAAAGGTTCTAGCGATTTAAAGCATTTTCCATTTTATCGTAGGGTTTTTGTCAACTTCTTTTAAGTTCCAAAGATATTTAGAAAGAGACGTCACATTTTTATAAGCGCTATTGGTGAAAGATATATGTTGATATCGCCTAGTTTTAAAAGAATTCTTGGTACTCCCAATAAAAAAAAGGTTTTAACTGTTAGATATTCTATGGTAGAAATAGTACTTGGGTAAACAAGAGAGTATGTTTGACATCGGTATTTAGTGGCCATTCGTCAGAATTTCTACAATTACACATACCAGTATTATCGGCGTTTGTTGGTTTGGAATGGCAATTATTACTCATGTTTTTGTATTAGTTTAAAATTTTATTATGTTTTTTAATAATTTTTTCAAGATTATCAGTACAACAAGAGCTTAGTTTTAGTGTATTTCTATTAAAAAATATATATATATATATATATATATATATATATATATATATATATATATATAATAGTAAAAAAGAAAAGAACAGTAAGATATATAATCCGGTGTTCTTATTGATATTTTTATTTTTACAAAACAGTGCTCAATGTAAATTTACAGAGCATAAATGTTATAGATTAACTGATTTAAAAATATGGTTTCTTCGCTACACAGGAATTACCATGTTTCAAAAACTGAAGCTAAATCTTCAGATTTAATTATATAATTAAATTAAAAGCATTAGTTCTGTTTCATCTTCACGCGAGTTTTGGAATAACTTATTCTTTAATTTAGTTAATTTTAAAAGCACTTACATTCATAATTTTTTTGTTTCCAAGTATACAGAGGAATCCAATCATTTAGACAGGGACGGTGGCGTGTTCATTTTTACTAACTATTATTGCATCAATTATGAGTTACGTTAGTCAGAAACATGGTAATTCCTGTGTAGCGAAGGAAGCATATTTTTAAATCAGTTAATTTATAATATATATATATATATATATATATATATATATATAGAGAGAGAGAGAGAGAGAGATAACAAAGACATTTCGTTACAAGGACAATATTGTATAAAGGAAAAACTGTTGCCCAGAATCACCTAGATTCTTTATATATAGTGGCCGACAATAGCTTTATATATGAAAATTATCAATTTTTAATTGTAATGGTATAAAGTTTATTAAAATTTACTCTTATATGTGATTTAAATGGGTTTGGGGCCAAAGAGTTAATCTTGACAAAATTCATGTGAATATGTACGAACTATATATGTATCAGTTCTTTTCATATCTATCTATCTATCTATCTATCTATCTATCTATCTATCTATCTATCTATCTATCACAGTCTGTTCATTATCTATCTATCGATCTATCTGTCTATCTTCACATATATATATGTGTGAAGATAGATATCAAAAGAATTTATACATAATGAGAGAGAGAGAGAGAGAGAGAGAGAGACGTAAAGAAAACACACACAAACACATTCACACACATAGATGCAAACACACACACACACATAAAGTGTGTTCCAATAACTTGAACCGATTTTAAATATGAATTAAGTTTAAGCGTCTAATGATTTTCTTTCTTTTTCTTTCAGATTTAAAAACTTTAGTCTTTGGCAATTTCAACCATGGAAAGATTAACAATCAAACAACGTGTTAACATTTCACAAGTGCAATTGGAGAAATTGTTCTTAAATTCAAACAAACTGGGTCAGTAGTAGATGTGAAAACATCATTGCTTGTTCATTTACGCTGTTCAGCTGAAAACATTGCTGCAGTGCACGAGAATGTGGCCGAAAATCCAGACCCCTCTCTTCGTCATCGCGCGCAGGAATTGAACCTCTCCACAACAACGTTACATCTTTTCCAATTGCACACTCGGTTGGTCGATTATGTTGACCCAAAAAATCGCGAAGTGTGCAAAATGCATTTCTGTTTGAACGTCCATTTTCGTAATCGGCTTCGATAACTTTAACGTTGTTTGATTGTTAATCTTTCCAGGGTTGTAATTGACAAAGACTTAAGTTGTTAAATCTGAAAGAAAAAGAAAGAAGATCATTAGACGCTTAAACTTAATTCACATTTAAAATCGGTCCAAGTTATTGGAAACCCTTTATATATATATATATATATATATATATATATATATATACATATATGAAAAGAAGTGATAAATAAGGAGAGAGTGTGTGTGAAAGAGAGAGAGAGAGAGAGAAAGACGTAGAGAAAACACACACACATACTCACATTTTCTCTCTCTCTCTATATATATATATATATATAGATAGATAGATAGATAGATAGATATGAAGTAGTACATAATGAGAGAGAGAGGGAGAGAGAGAGAGAGAGAGAGAGAGAGAGAGAAAGAGAGAGATTACATAAGACTACTCGAAGCTCGCAAAGAATAAACGGAAGATATGCTTCCTTTGGGAAACATTGATGTATATAATTAAGGCCAAGGCGGAACGGACCTGAGTCATGCACATTCTTGGCTTTGGGCCGGCCTCATGGCATCTGTACTCTTGGACTTTAAGATTTAAGAGGCTCGAATTCTCTACCATGTTGCCAGTTTATACGCATGCGCAGCTCAAGAAAAATTGAACATCAGCGATTATTTACTATTTCATGTGTACGTTTCTTTTTTCATTGATCTAACTTTTGATATTTTTCTTCATTTTGTTGCAAGTTGATTTTCATTTTTCCTTTCCTTTTCTTTGTTTCTTTGTTCTTTTTATTTTTTTTTGTTTTAATCTTTAACTTTCCTTCTTTGCTTCTTTCATTCTTTCTTTTCTTTTATTCTTTGTTTGTTTGTTTCTTTCATTATTTCTTTCTTAAAGTTATCTCCATCATTCATTTCTTTTATTTTATTTCTTCACTATCTTTTTCTTTCTTATTTTACTTGTTATTCTTTTTTTCCCTTATTATTAACTATTACGACTTATTTCTTCTTCCTTTTTCTATCTTTTTTCTTCATTATAATGAACGTTTTCTTTACTGTCATTTGCTTTTTCTTTCCTTCTTACTATCTTTTTCTTTATTATATTTAACTTCTTTAAATTTTATTAATCTTTCCTTTCTTTCTTTTCTTTCTTTTTTCTTTCTTTCTTTCTTTCTTTCTTTCTTTTGTTCGTCTTTCCCTTTTTAATTATAGTTAACTTTTCTTTAAATTTTATTCATCTCCTCTTTTTCTTTCTTTCTTTCTTTCTTTCTTTCATTCTTTATTTCTCTTCCTTTCTTTTTTCTGTCTTTCCTTTTTATTATATTTAACTTTTTCTTTAATTTTTATTAATCTTTTAATTTTCTTTTCTTTCTTTCTTTCTTTCTTTCTTTCTTTCTTTCTTTCTTTCTTTCTTTGTCTGTCTTTATTTTTTATAAAATTTAACATTTTCTTTAAATTTTATCAATCTGTTCTTTCTTTGTTTCTCTCTTTCTTTATCTGCTTGTCTTTTCCTATTTTTTAGATTTAACATTTTCATTTTATTAAAATTTTCTTTCTTTTTTCTTTTTTTCTTTCTTTCTTTCTTCTTTCCTTTGTTTGTTTCTTTCTTTTTATTCAAGTTCCTTTTGCTTTGTCGTTTTTTTTTAAATTCTTTCTATCATTTCTTTGTATATCAAGCCAGATTAAATCACAATATATGCAGTTGTAAAAAATACAAAGTGAATGCTAATAAAATCGCCACTGCTCCCCTGTTTCTTTTTACCACTTCTCGAATCATTAAGTGGCGAAACCAAATAAAACCCAATTAAAACACCACCCAACCAAGCAAATCAACCAATCTTACTAGCCTCTTCCCGACAGTTGAACAGTCAACAACTTTGTCTGTTGAATGACGTCATAGTCAGCGTCATTGACATTGGTGTCGTAAAATAATCCTCTACTGCCGAAAACGGGCACAGTTGTTTGAAGAAGAATAGAAGTTCTTTGTAATTCTGGTGTGTCTCAGCAAAATGCCCTGGAGTAAAACGGGCTATAACTGCCTGTCAGCGCGTCCACCTGTCAGCCTATGTGTCAATTTGTCTATGAATGTGACAGTTGCTTTGGTTTTATGACGTATTATGAAAATGACACGGACTTGTTCATCGACCACGACACTGGAACAACATAAATCGCCATCTTGGAAAATCGGTGGATGTATTTTTTGTGTAATATTTCGTTCTTTTTTTTTTTTTATTATTTTTCATTCTTTTTTTCTTTTTTTCTTTAATTCTCCTGGTTTTGTTTACATTGATCTGTTTATTTTTTCTTCCATTATTTGTTTTCACTGAAATTTATCGCAATTTATGACAATTTCTTTTTTCATTTATCGCACTTTTTCATATTTTCTTCATTTTGTTGTAAGTCTTGCTTTCATTTTTCCTTTCTTTCTTTTGATCCAGTCTTCTTCATTTTAAGCTTTAACTTTCCTTCCTTGATTCTTTCATTCCCCCTTTCTTTTTTTATTCTTTCTGTTTGTTTCTTTTTTCATCATTTCTTGTTTTATTCTTTCTTCATTTTAAGCATTAATTCTCTTTCCTTGCTTTTTTATTCCTTCCTTTCATGTTTTATTCTTCGTTGTTTGTTTGTTTCTTTATCTTTCTTTGTTTCTTTCTTTGTTTCTTGCTTTCTTTAAATCCTTTCTTGTTTTATACTTTCTTCATTTTAAGCTTTAACTTCCCTTCCTTGCTTCTTTCATCCGTTGTTTTATTCTTTTTCATTTGTTCTTTCTTTCTTTCTTTATTTTAAGCTTTAACTTCCCTTCCTTGTTTCCTTCATTCATTGTTTGTTTCTTTCTTTTTTCTTTCTTTCTTTCTTTCTTTCTTTCTTTTTCTTTCTTTCTTTCTTTCTTTAAACAATTCCAACCTTTCTATACAGACTCTGTTCCTTTTCTTTTCTACTTTAATTCCTGCCTTTCTTTCTTTCTTTTTTTTTAAATCTTTCTTGTTTTATTCTTTCTTTTTTTTAACCTTCAATTTTTGTTTCTTGCTTCTTTCCTTTTTTTTCTTTCTTGTTTTTTTCTTCCTTTTTTCGTTTATTTCTTTCTCTTTGTTTTGTTTCTAAACTTCTTGGAAAATTGGTGGATGCATTTTTTTCTTTTCATTTTTTAGTAACTTTTCTTTCATTATTTTTCATTCTTTCTTTAATTTCTATGGTTTTCTTTACATTAATTTATTACATTTTTCTTGCATTATTTGTTTTCGCAGAAATTTATTGCAACTTGTGACAATTTCCTTGTGTATGCCTGTGTTTGTGCAAGCTTACTATGACATGTTGGGCTTACGTCATGTGTACCAAAAAAAAAAAAAATGAAATGTTACGATGGATTTAACGAAAATATAAGATTTTCTTTTTTTTACAGTTTGTGCATGTCTCCAGTGCCGGGGTACATTGAGTATCTGATTATGTCTGTCTGAATGATTGTGGACAATATACTTTTAAAAGTGTGTAAGACAAGGATGCGCCTTCTCGCCGGACATATTCAACCTAAACAGTGAAGCGATTCTGAGAGAATTAGAAGTCCCACCAGGACTCGTTACTGGCGGCCACAATCTTTAACAGCATCAGATATGTAGTTAACGAGGGGTTGATAACAGACAAAGAAAGGAAACTATAAGAACTCCTACAGTAGGTAGAAAAGGAAAGCGAAAAGAAAAGACTAAATTATGTTAGGTATGTTAAAATGTACAATCTTAACAACATAAGATATGCAGATGACACAGTGTTGATAACAAACACAGAAAGGAAACTACAAGAACTCCTACAGTAGGTAGAAAAGGAAAGCGAGAAGAAAAGACTAAATTATGTTAGGTATGTTAAAATGTACAATCTTAACAACATAAGATATGCAGATGACACAGTGTTGATAACAAACACAGAAAGGAAACTACAAGAACTCCTACAGTAGGTAGAAAAGGAAAGCAAGAAGAAAGGACTAAACTATGTTAGGTATGTTAAAATGTACAATCTTAACAACATAAGATATGCAGATGACACAGTGTTGATAACAAACACAGAAAGGAAACTACAAGAACTCCTACAGTAGGTAGAAAAGGAAAGCAAGAAGAAAGGACTAAACTATGTTAGGTATGTTAAAATGTACAATCTTAACAACATAAGATATGCAGATGACACAGTGTTGATAACAGACAAAGACAGGAAACTACAAGAACTCCTACAGTAGGTAGAAAAGGAAAGCGAGAAGAAAAGACTAAATTATGTTAGGTATGTTAAAATGTACAATCTTAACAACATAAGATATGCAGATGACACAGTGTTGATAACAAACACAGACAGGAAACTACAAAACTCCTACAGTAGGTAGTGAAGGAAAGCAAGAAGAAAGGACTAAACCTCAATTGCAAGGAGACAGAATGTATATTTGTCAGCGAATGGAACAGCCTAACATGCAAATTTCAAATTAGGATATACCAAAATCAAGCAAGTACAATAATTTAAATACCTGGGAAATGTTTTAACGGAGGACACAAAGTGCGGCAGTGAAATCCGAAGGCGCATTGAGATAGCGAAAGATACCTTTCAAAAGCGAAGCAAAGTATTAAGAAACAGGAAAATATTGTTAGAAAAAAAAGAAAAAAGTGCTGAACTATTGTTATACAATATCGAAATCCTTTTACCAGAAAATAACTGAATGCAACTGTTATGTAATATCAGTTCTCCCACAAAGGAAAAGAAGCTGTGGAGAGCCATGATCGCCAACGCCCTGAAGTGACACAGTACATAGAAAAAGAAGAAACGACTTGTGTAAATGGATGACAGAACAGGGTTTAGGAGAGAGAGAGAGAGCAAAAACACAAAATTCATTAAGAGCTACAAAGGAGAAGAAGTTGTGGAGAACCATGATCAACAACGCCCTGAAGAGCCACTACACCTATTCATTAAAAGCGACAAAGGAGAAGAAACTGGAGAGCCATGATCGCCAACGCTCTGAAAGGAAACGACATATAGAAGAAGAATTAAGATTAAAACCATATAATACACATGTCTGTCTTTTCAAGTCTAGTGTAAACTGGACACATGTCTACCCTCCTTTTTATTCACTCTAACCAAGTGGTTCCCAACCATTTTTGATCATGACCCACCTAAACATCTCTATAATCCTGATACCCCCCCCCGCTGTGACATATAATTATATTATTAAAAAAATAAGCTCCTATTCACGCGGAGGAAACCTAAAAAAAGGCCATTAACTTGACTTTCCTTAAGAACTTAAGACTGTATATATGCAATAGTATTATTTTTTAATATTTTACAATGTTTATAAAAATATCGTGTTACTAATATGGTGGACTCTCTATTCGACGTATGAGGGTCAAGCAGCTCAGTTCCTAGGAAACGACAGCCCAGAAACCTGCATTTATGAATTGATTATAGTGGTAAAGGCTTTGTGCAGAACCAAGTATACTTATTGAAGGGCCGAATACAGAGACCTGGTGCACTATTTACCACAAGGTCCCCAAACGACCCTCCGCAAGTTTTGAATTCAGACTTGTCTTTCTCCTAGACCAGTTGCCATCCAAGGCTATAGAACCCAGTCATCCTGCTATTTACCTATAGCTGGGGGTAGAAGAAGAGGATTAATACTTTTCTCAAGGGAATTAGCACGTAAATTAATGTAATGGGTTCGATATATATATATATATATATATATATATATATATATATATATATATATATATAATAAAAAAGACTTCTTCCGCTTTGAATTTAGACACTCCAACCTTACTCTGACTTGACCTCTTTGAATGTAACTGAGATATTGATACAAATTATTAACCCTTACGTCCCACATTTTTTAAAAAATAATTGCTCTAGCCGTTACCAAAGTAATTTTAATTTTAATAATGAATATGTTTATAAAACACGTAAATTTCAAAAATTAGTTATTCCCCAAAAATTTCGCTTGAAGACGGAACAGAACTTGGTACTTTAATTCAATTTAGTTCAAATAATTATATTGAAGTTTTCGGCTCTTGTTTTGAAACATGAGAACTCTTATGTAGCGATGGAATCATATTTTTTATATATAATATATATATATATATATATATATATATATATATATATATATATATATATGGGGGTGCGTACAACATTGCATTTGGAAACAAGAATTAATCAACATGTACCTTCTAAAATACAACATGGCAAAATAGATAGCGTGTTATCTTCCCTCTACAAATATGGAATCGGCTATTGCTTAACACCTAGTAGAAAATATAGCCTGTTTCAAGTCGTATATGAAAGAGGGATTCAAAATTATTCACATAGCTGGTTCCAACAATCATTTGAAGATTTTGGAATCAATCTGTATAGGATTACACAAACCTCTTTGCTGGCAGAAGGACTTTGTGAAGTCCCTTAATTTGTTGGGGGATATTTTATTGGTCTGATGATTGCGTCTAGCATGAAACAGCCTGTCGCCTTGTTGACTTCAAAATATCAACGCAGGGCGCCTTTTGCAGTTATGAGAGCCATTAACAAACTTGACAGCTCTAGGAATTATTTCACCCACAGGTTATTCTGAGTGGGCACTTCCAACAGTGTATGTAAAAAAGAAAAATAATAATGTTCGTGTATGTGCAGATTTTTATACAGGGTTTAAATGAATGTCTACTACCTCACCGTCCCTAGAAGTGATTTTTACCAAATTAAATTTTTTTCAAGGATTGACCTGTCAGATGCATACTGACAAATTGAAGTGGATGAAAAATGTAAAAAGTTGTTAACAATTAACACACACAAAGCTCGCTGCAGTTTTAATAGGCTAGCAAAGTGTCCCATAGGATTTTCCGGCAAGTAATTGAAACGATGCTGACTGGTTTAGATTTTGCCTATCTGGAAGACGTACTCATAAAAATTGAAACTAGACGGCAACTTTTAGAACACATACAGCTAGTATCCCAGAGAATAAAGGATTAGAGAGAAGAAATGCCAATTTTTCATGAGTCATATAAAATACTTAGGGCAAATAATTGATGCAAATGGCCGTAAACCAGAGTCATCAAGGATGAACGCTATTGAAAATATGCCTGCCCCGACAAAAGTTTCGATTTTACCATCATTTTAAGGCTAACAAGCTATTATAATTTTTATATGCCAAACATGCATAATTTGAGAGGCTCTTTAAATAAATTATTGAAAAAAGGTGCAATGTTGGAATTGGTCTGATGAGCTCTAAAAGTCTCTTGAAGACAAAGAACATGTTAATATTTGAATTATCGTTAACGCATTTCAATCCTGATTTAGAAATAACAGTAGCATCCGATGCAGCTGTTTCTTATAAATTTAAGGATGGTAAAACAAAAACATGGATCATGGATCTAGAACGCTAATAACAGCTGAAAAAAAATTATAGTCAAATCAAAAAAAGAAACATCAGCTATCATTTTCGCAGTGAAAAATTGACAAAATAATACGTGGTCGAAAATTTATTTTGCAATCAGATCACCGTTCCTTATTGATAATTTTTAGTTCTAAAAAGGTATTCTGCGACATTCTGCCAGCATGTTGCAACTTTGGGAAAATACAGGTGTCCGTAAAGTTCGTGTGCACTTTAAAAAAAATTATAACTTTATTTGTATTTGCGATAGAAATAATTTGTAAAAAAAGGAATAGAAAGAAGTAAATCTATATTTTTTAAAGTTTTATTGAAATTTTATTTAAGTTTCCACATGTCCTCCATCTTTAGCAATACAAAGGGTAATATGATTTTGCAGATCACGGAAAACATTTGCCACCTGATTTACAGTAATGCCTGAAATCACATTAGTTATTTTAGCTATACTTAAAACTAGGTACATTAAACTTTATAACATTTTTTACAGATTATTTCTATCGCAAATACAAATAAAGTTATAAATTTTTAAAAGTGCACACGAACATTATGGACATCCTGTATTTTTACTAAACTATGATTTTAAGATGGCGTATTGAAAATCAAAGAAATTGAGACCTGCAGATGGTTTGTCCAGATTAATTCCAAAATATAAGGAACTTTTTGAGGAGACGGCGATTGCTTCTGTAATTTCTGAGAATGAGATAAGAAGTGTTTAGTGTAACACAATAAGTAACTTTGGACGAAATTAAAAATACAAGCCAAGCAGGATGACTACATTTTGAAAATGATGAATGACGTAAAAGTGAAATGAAAAGAAAGAAAAAATAAACCCGGTTTTACTGAAAATAATAATTATTTTCCCATCTACGACAAAGTACTTATGCACGCTGAAAGAATATTAATTCCTGTTTCTTTACAAAAAAGAATTTTAAAGCAGTTTCATGTTGGACATTATGGGATGTTAAGAATTAAATCCCTTATGAGAAGTTACATAGATTGGCCTAAAATGGGCCAGAATATTCAAGGCGATGAAGGGCAGCTAAATTTTAAATTTAAATTAAAAATTCCTGTAGTTGAAGGCATACAATTGTGTTCCAAATAGTAAGATTCTACGGGTTATTAAATAACCGATAGAGGTTGATATGCCTCTAAACAAAATCAACCTAACAAGCAACGTGAAAGATCTCTTTCATGATATTAATCCATATAATATCCTAGGATTTCTTAAAGAAATCAAACTGTATTCCAAAATATAACTTCAACAAAACTACAACAGAAAACACACTCGAGTAATTATGTCCACACAAATATGTATATGTACAAAAGCTGAATATCATCTACCATGTATTCAATGGCGAAAGCAGAATAATATATATCATATTTTTTATTACTTCCCAAGAAAATTAAATTTCGGCATTAAATGACCCATAAGGCGTTGATATGACGTTAACAAAACAAATCAAATAAAACCAACAAAAATACAACATAAAAAAACCTTATCACCACGTCTAGTAATCATTTCTACACAAACATGTATGCTCACAAAAGCTGAGCATCAACTACCATGTATTCAATTGCGAAAGCAGAATAACATATATCATCTTTTTATTACTTCTTAAGAAAATAACATATTTTTATTACTTCAAAGCACCTCCAAGAAAATTGAATTTCGGCATTAAATGACCCATAAAGCGTTGATATGCCGTTAAACAAACAAATCAAATAAAACCAACAAAACCACCATGTATTCAATTGCGATAACAAACAGTTACCCCCGCCCCCCCAAACCTGGGGTCAGAACTTTATGAAAGTATAAAGATACATTTTTATAGTAATACATTTTTTTTATACAATAATGCATTTTATCTGTAGTCGAAGGCATACAATTGTGTTCAAAATATACTTAGTTGAAGCCATAAAAATTCGTCCAAAATAGATTTCGGCATAAAATAGCTCATAGAGATATGCCTCTAAGCAAAACTACCCTAACAAACAACCAACATGAAGGAATTCTTCCAAGACATTAATCCATATAATATCTTACAATTTCTTAATTCAAACTGTAAATAAAACTTCAACAAAACTACAATATAAAATACGCATCACCACCTCTAGTAATCATGTCCACACAAACATGTATATGCACAAAAGCTGAGTATCATCTACCATGTATCCAACTGTGAAAGCAGAATAACATCATATTTTTATTACTTCAAAGCTCCAAAAAAAATTAAATTCCGACATTAAATAATCCATGAGGAGGTGGTGTGCCGTTAAACAAACAAATCAATCAAAATGGATTTTTCTAAAGAATTAATGGATTTATTTTTAATCCAATCTTCTTATTACTTCAAAAGTCATTTAAAAAAATAGGTCGTCTATTTCAAACACGTGTATCCGTCAAAAATAACGGATATACATATAAGCTAAACTTTGACTCGAGGAATCGTGTGTGGGCGGGCACCCACTTTCAGTGTTGGAGTGTGTAAGGATCGAACTCAATAAATAAGTAATAGTCTGACCAAATGACTCGTTAACCACTGTATCACGGTATGTTATTATTATCTATGTTAGTTTTCTCATATATGTCTATACGCCAGCTTCAGCTAGGACTGGCACGAGGCCACTAGTGTAGACTATTGAGGGGTTAAGAATTACATTACAACAAGGCGTATTGTTTTTCCTAATTTACTTTGATTCTGCCTTAAACTGTTCATATCTATCTATCTATCTATCTATCTATCTATCTATCTATCTATCTATTAGTTTATTCTATCTATATATCCATTCATATCTAAGTTTATTCTCTCTTTCTGTCTATATCTGTCTATCTATCTATCTATCTCTGTTCATATCTATCTATGACTTTATTCTAACTATGTATCTATTCATATCTAAGTTTATTCTATCTATCTATCTATCTATCTATCTATCTATCTATCTATCTATGTTCATATCTAAGTTTAATCTATCTATGTTCATATCTAAGTTTAATCTATCTATATTCAATCTAAGATTAAATCTATCTATCTATCTTATTCTATCTATCTATCGCATTCATCATTCATTCATCTATTCATCTATCTTTATTCAATTTGTCGATTTAACCCAGTCTATTCATATATAAGTTTATTCTATCTATCTATTCATCTATTCATATCTATCATTCATCTATCTTCTATCTAAGAGTTTATTATATCTATATTTCTGTTCATATTCATCATATCATATCTATCTATCTATCTATCTATCTAAGAGTTTATTATATCTATATATCTGTTCATATCTAAGTTTATTCTATCTATCTATCTATCTATCTATCTATCTATCTATCTATCTATCTAAGAGTTTATTATATCTATATATCTGTTCATATCTATCTATCTATCTATCTATCTATCTATCTATCTATCTATCTATCTATGTTTCACAGCTTGTAAAATGGAGTCGGTCGACGAACATATACGTACTCAGACACAGACGTATACCCGCACTTACACGCATTGAGACACGCATTGAGACACGCATTCATACCCATATATGCACACACACACACGCACATGCACCCACATATGCATTCACATCCACATAAACGTACTCCGTCACAAGCACACATGTACCTTGGCTTGCACCCGCCCGTACAGTCAAACGAGTGGAAAAAATGCACTAAATGTCCTTCCGAATTCGAAAAATAATTTTATGGGCTCATGTCCGCAATAACCAAACACTTGTAAACAGAAAGAAGCCCCTGGATCGGGCAAAGAATAAACAGAGGTAATAGAATTCTCCCCCACGCCAACCAGACTTTTTTTTTCTTGCAAGACCTTCCTCGATTTACTTGAGTCACGGAAAGATTTTTTGGAAGTTGAGTTGAATACTGAATGATAATGGTTTTGTTCGCAGGGGAGCGGTGAGCGCCCTGTGTACACATTCACTCGCCGTCTGTGTACACATTTGCATAAATGTGTAAAAGAGAGTTTAGCGACTCTGGTGAATGGCATATGGAATGAATGGTGCGTGAAGTGAGAATGTTTTGTGGGCCATTGAGTTTGTCAAAATAAAGAGAAACTGGAGAATGATTTGTTTCTTGTTTTTTTTTTAAATTCAGGAATTAATATACACGATGTAAAGATGGCGACTGTGACATAGTATGAAAGTCCATTCTAGCAAAATCGCTAAAAGATACTGTCAATTTGTCTGTATTAGTCTATTTGTGTATACAGTTGTGAACAGAATTATTCGCATCTACTGAATATTTGAATATTTTCTAAGGAAATCTTTATAAGTTTCTGAATTTACCATAAATATTTGATTCCATATTTAGTTTTGAATAATTAGCGAAATTTTTAAAAGTTTCGATCTATTATATTCAAAGTTATAGATTTTTCTAAAAATCAGTGCAGACCCGAATAATTCGCCCCTCTTATGGAAATTATGAAATATTATTGCTCTATGGCAGTTGTAATGTGTTTATTTTTCTTAATTTGACATTGAATACAAACACCATTTTTATTTTAATGTCAAACTTTAAAGCAAAAAAAAAAAAAAAAAGAATTAACATCGGACAAAATTATCGGCCCTCTCGACTCAATAATCGATTGTCTAACCATTAATCTTGATTATTACCTTCAATCATTTTTGATAGTTCCTTACAAGATCACTACATGCATTGACAGGTATTTACTTCCATTCTTCATCAGCAACTGCTTCTAGTTCCTCTAAATTAGAAGGACTTCTTACTCTTACTTTTTTCTTCAAATATGTCCATAGATTTTCAATGGGATTTAAGTCAGGACTTTGAGCAGGGTACGCCAATACCTTAATTTTGCTGTCATCTAAGTACTTTTTTCTTCAAATATGACCATAGATTTTCTATGGGATTTAGGAAAGGATTTTGAGCAGGGTACGCCAATATTTTAATTTTGCTGTCATCTAAGTATTTTGTAACAATTCGTGCCGTGTGTGTAGGGTTATTGCCATGTTGGAACGTCCAGTGTTGTCAATGTTCAACCCATCGCAATCTCCTAACCAGCATAAAAATGCCACTCTCTTCTTTCATTCGACAGATACGCGCAAAACTCACCCACCTTTTGTCAAATTCTGATGAAAGGAGTCGACGCCTTTCCGTCCTGATCTTGACTTTAAGCTGATGCTTAAAGAACAAGATCAGTTAGGAAGAATTAAACTTCTCGTCCCTATAGAATTCCATCTGTCGCGTTGTCCATATTACGACTCGCATAGCACCTAGTAAGAATAAGAACACATAGTGCTCAGTCTTAGCTTACGAGGGGACCACATTGCTACAAACAGAACTGGCCTCAAAGACAAAGAACTTTCCGCGTAGCATGCGAACCATAATGTCTTCAGTAAACTTGCACAACGGGACTACTACTATGCAGTTGAAGAATGCGTGAGCCAGGGTCTCAATAGACTCACCATAACGGACGCAGTTGGGAGAATTTCCTAAGGCATGTGAGTGATGCTTCATCATTAATAAATTATTTAAACCCAGGCGCCCAAGGCCATATGAAGTGAGCCTCCTGCTTCGTTAAACTGAATTCGCCAATCAGACCATCTTGAACGGATCCCCTCACTAATATCTAATGCTTTATAGGACAACGCCTGGACGTTGGAGAGGCCATCCGTCGCCCGTAAGAGGAACGAGAGTTAACCGGCATTCACGATAGAAGGAGCACTTTCCTCGGGGTAAACGGTGGGCCACCTCCTCGCACGACTGCGCACATCTTAGGGACAAGAAGTTCTTACTGGCGTCTTCCTTCCAGAATTCTTCATTCCCATCCGCTAGCGAGCACTTTGGCTACATTTAGCCCACTGAAGTCCTAAGAAAAAATATCTTAATGGATTTTTTTTCGGTCTGATAGCGTTTAACGATAGAGATTAAAATTCAACAAAATCCCATCAGAGAACTCATTTCCAGTTCAGAACAAAATATTCAAATTTATCTCAGCATTAAAGCAAAAATAATTAAAATTGTTTCGAGTCAACTAGAAGCTTTAAAAAGAAATTAAATAAACACATTTGTGCCACTCCTTCAGAAGCTGATATTATAAGTATACTTAATAAGCAAAGTAGATTTAAACACAACGTTTTGCACAAACCTCAGTGCTCCCCTTAGGACCATGGCAATGAGAAACCTGGCACTTAAGGAAAATGCTTTAAATGAAAGCTGATAAAAGTAACAACGTTTTACAATGTGACTCTTATTGAACTCTTTTTTGTTATTACTTTCAAATCAACTCAACCTGCTTTTAAAATTCATCCGATTTCGGGAACTTTAAACTTACAAGTTGAATTAATACAAAAAGGTATTCTATTCCTTACACACTAATAAATATTTTCTGCTGGTGATGACTTATGGAAGCGAGACATCACACAGGCTCCTGTGGAAGTGAGACATAATAGAGACAATCAAGAAGGGCAAGCATAGATGGGATAGCCATGTTTCTCACCTTAGCGACAACAGATGGATTATTAGAGCAACAGAGAGGACACCAGGGCAGTGGAATAGAGCGAGGACGAGGGACAAAGGCAAGGTGGTGTGACAATCTGACCAGATATCTTGACCCTACATGACCCAGTATGCCCAAAGATAGGAAGTGGTGGATGTCAACCAGTGAGGGGTTCCAGGAGTGATAAGGCCCCGGGTTTGTATACTAAAGAAAAGATTTTAAAAAATACATTTCTCTTTATTTAAACTGTTTAAAAATCTAAACAGGATAATGCATGCAGAGAAATAAATTTAATACAGGTTTTTGCCAACCAGCTACAAATATGTGAAAGTCGCAATTCAACAAAGTTTATTTTACAAGCTTAAAAAAAAAACATGCCAAATGCACAAAGATGCAAAGCGTATGTTGACGAATCTCAACGTTAGGAATATCCAGACCGCCTTCAGAAGAGTGGAGGTAAAAAAATCTATCAACATAGCTCGCGATACTTGTCTCCCCACAAGAAGGAAAACAAGACCCTTATTAATTGCAAGAATATGGCATACGGTAATGGAAGCACGGACAGTCGATAAAAGAGAATTGGGTAGATGTGCGAAACACATACTTCCGCTTTTAAGGAAAGATTCCTCTGAGACCACAGACAAGCTGCACCCTCGACCTTCTCCAGCACCCCCGACCAATTCATTTCCAGCAAGGGATCGAGACCGAACCAGACGCCGAGTATTACGACCGATGCGTCCGTCTAGAGAAAAGGCCCGGGAAAAGAAACTCTCTTTCACGTGCCCACCTGCAAGCCAACAGACTTATCGGGGTTGATCTTGGCCCCTGTCACCGTCTCGTACCCTCTGGTCTCTTCGTCAGTTTCGGCTCTGATCGACACAAGAAGCGAAACGTTATCAGTATAGGCGGAGTTCCTGGCTGAGGTGATAGCACCAGGTAAGGAGATTCCGCGTAGGACAGGATTTGCCTTTAACTTGCGAAAGAAAGGTTCCAACGCAAGAATTTAAAGCAATGGCGAAAGCCGACAACCTTGACGAATGGAGCGAGACAACACGAACGTCCCCGATCGTACCCCATTCATTTCCATCAGTGCGCTGAGTGACGCGTACAGAAGTCGGACCCAAGTACGAAAGTACGGTCCGTAACCGGCGGCCCGAAAGGACAGCCTCCAGAAAGTGATGGTCAACCTCATCGAATGCGTTGGAATGATCAAAATTGATCACTGTCGAATTGCTCGATGATCAAGCATACCGAATGAAGGTTGTTCTGAATAGTCCTACCCTTCACAGCACAAGTAATCTCATAGCCAATCAGACTGCAAGATCTTGGCTAAAATCTTCAACTCTGTATTTAACATCGTCAAATTCTGAAAGTTACCTATCCCATCCCAATCGTTCTTGTTTTTGCGTTGCAACTTGATCACACCCCTGGTAAAGCGTTGAGGAATAGTCCCCTGTTTCATCCAATTGTTGTAAATCAGTTCCAGCAAGGGAGCAAGAACGAGTGACTGTCTCAAGTAAATTTCATAAGGAAGGCCATCTAATCCCAGAGTTTTGTCCAGGCCAACCAGTTTCAGCGCTTCTCAGATCACAGATAACGTGGCGCTCGCATCTGGCCGCTTCGAGGCGGGAAAACGTCGGCCAAATAGGCATCAAAATGAGCGCGGCTCAGACCTGGATCCCTGGTCAACAATCCTGAAAGTAGTCACGAAAAAACTAACATATGCTCGCTTTTGTAATCACGGTCAGCTTATATGGCAATGTGACGACACGATATTCCTAATGGATGCTCTTCTAATTTCCCCTGCACGCAGTTCAGCGGCCATATTCGTTACTTCAGGAGATATTTTTTTTACCTAGATCTAAGAGCTTGATCCTTCTGGATTAAGCAGGAGGCCAGCTCCGCCCTAGCCTTTAGCTAGGGCGGAGCTGGCCGACAACGACTGCATCCGTCACATCCTGCACTGCCGA